TACTAGAAAATTATTTACTGCCTTCGTCGGTATTGGGTTTTTTGTTATTTTGTTCCGTAATAATTTTTGCCTCAGGAGATCATTTGGTTTGTTTGGGTTTTGTGTAAATCCTCACGGTAATGTTGACCTATTCATTTGGTCAGACATTCATAGCGTAAAACATGGGTTTGGTGGGATTCTGCGGAGAGGTGGGAGAAGTCATCGTGGCAGCAACGTTGCTGTCCTGCGGGGATACGCTTGCTGCACCCTCGGGAACTCCGCGTTCAATGAAGCGAGGTTTCGTTGGAGAATTTGGCATCGAGTCCTTCATGTACGTTTCGCTATCTGCTATCGAACAGTTATCTGGCGGATATCTGGGATAGCTGTGTCTGTTTATCTGCTGGTAACCGTTTGGCGGTCTGTAACGCGGATAATAAGTCTGCGTGGAACGTGCAAATTGCTGCTGGGGTGAGTCTGAACGAGGTGCGTACTGTAGTTGCTGTTGGTGCTGCTGCCTGACTTGATAGTTCTGGGTGTAAGCTGGATAATAAGGTTGATACGGTTCGATGTGGTTGTATGGGATGTAGACCATAGTTTGATGGTAGCCTTTGGAAACTTCTTGAGGCGGTGGTGACTGAGGCCGTCGAGTGGCGTTCCTCGGAAGCGATTGATAATAGTCTGGTGGTGCGGCGACTCTAGTTGTATAAATGTTCGTTCTGTACGTTCCTTGCTGTGGGCATCTGTTCGCACAATTTTGGTAAATGTTCTCGTCCACTAAAGTGGTAGGCCTATACTGTGCGTAGGTTCGTTTTATTTCTTCGCTGACATATTGGTAGGTGGGTGGTTGAGCTCTAATTTTATTGTCAACCCCACTCAAATTAGTCTCCGAATAATAAGGCCAAGCCACTGGGGGGTTTCGGGGCGGCGTACTCGTCGGAGGCTGCATCTGGTTTTGGATCTGCTGCAGAATTTCCGTCGTTGAACCGAAACGAGGTTTAATTCCTCTCACGCTGGGTCTCCTATTGAAACCGTAATCATCATGCTCGTCGTCTTCCTCGGCATCCGGCTGATACCTGAATATTGCATTAAAACCAGTTAAAATTGTTCGTTAATATAAATTTCGGGAATTTTCACTTACTTCTTCTTGATCCTCTCGATGCGGCTAGCATCCTGTTGCACGAACATTGCAAGTTCATCTCCGGACTCCGAAGCGGACGGCGTGCCAACTAAAACATCTGGAGCTATCCTCTTACTTTCCTCCTCGTCCTTCTTTAGACCATCCTCTATATCTTCTAAACTGTATTCAGTGCCAACGGAGCTGGCCATAGACATCCTATCTCCTTGGGTATTCATGTGATAGTAATAGTCGTCTGCAGCAACAGCTCCGCCTACGCATGCCGTGAGCGGCGCTAAAGTTGAGAGAAATTGCTTCCTGCTTTCCGTCGAGTTGACTTTAATTACAGTATTGTGTGTTTCCTGAGGTCCTCCCAAATCTGGTACGCCTGTGTTTAACTGCTTGTTGTTGACTTGAGTTTCAATCTGAATATCAGGTCGATCGCGCTTCGCGAACAAATCAGTGATCTTTCTGTAAGTCGACGATACTGAAGACGTCGATGAAGACGATGAGGAAGGGGAGTTTTTAACTGCAGATATTTCTGGTGAATTCCTCGCTTCTTCGCCCGGAGGACTAGCACGTGCCTTCTCTTGCTGGTTCTCCAAAGGTTCATCCACGTCGCAAGTCAACTGCTTAATACGTTCGACTAGTGAGTTGTCGGTCTTTGTGTTTTTCTTGCTACGCGGTTCGTAGCGAATCAGCGAGCGACGCAAAGTATTACGCTCGATGGCTCTTTTAATGGATTCGTCTGCTTCGCCTATAATTTGTGGCAATTTCGAACGTTTCGCTTCCTCGAAAGCTTTGAGGCTTTCGGCGGTCACCAAATATTGATGTACCGATTCGCCTTCGTCTTGTTTTCCGGCCAGCGGTTTAGTACATGGGAACAATTGCCGAACTGCTGAGTTCGGCTTTAGGCTATTATTGGAAATCAGCACGTGATTGCCTAACTTGAACGTGAGGGTCATCTCGGTGGATTCAGGACTCGCCGTCGGGACATTCGAATCAACTTCGTCCTTGCTCTCGACCATCTTTTTCAATGGTTTTTCGCATAGGTCACGTTTCTCTTCCTCCTCGATGAAACGCACGGAACGCTTGCTTCCACCTTCATCGTCCGACGTTATGTTGTCGTAAACCTTTCAACATGAACAATATTTGTGATTTACAATTTACCGTACATTCATATCAGTTATTTATTTACCTGTTGTTGTAACTGTTGTTGCTGATGCAGAAACTCGCTTCTCATATTGTTAACGTCTGCAGGCTGCTGTTTCCAAAGTCTCCCACCTTTCAGAATACCACTAATTGGAGAGCCTCCGGGCTGTAGACTCGGAGTGGGACTAGGACTAGACTCCTTTCTTTCATCTTCTAGCATTTCCTTCCGCTGTCTCCTCTCCGGTATCTTTGCTGGCATGGCAACTCTCGTTTCTGAAAATTTAAAGACATTCAAATTGCCACCATCACAAACTGCACACATTGAATTGTATTCTGGTTATCATTACTCTCTGACGGCTCTTTTCGTATAACCGTTTCGAAACAGATAAAGCTGTTGTAAACCGAGTTTGTAGCGGAACAATTTACACATACACACACCACTCTCGGTGATTATGTGGCCGTTACACGAGATGTACGGGATGTGTAACAAGTCGACTGTAGCACACGTCTGTTTTTATCCTGCAATTTAAAATATTATCCCAAATCCAGCAAACTACAATTACTAAATCACGTCCGAATTCGCGTTTCATATTTAACAAAGCGAAACAACGAGAGCACGTATCCAAATACACTTCCCTTTTTATAGGTATGCATAATAGTTCCAATGTTATTACGTGAATTAATCTTCCGGCACACCGAAGCACCTGATCTTCCGCCTGAATAATATTTAAGCTTTAAAATTCCTTTTATGCGCGACGCCGTTCAAATATAAAATGTGTTCAACTGTTTGCGCTTCTAGATCGATCGTGTGGTAGTAGGTGTCGTCGAGATGATTAATGTTTGCACAAAATTTGCCCTTTTTTGCCAACGGAGCATTTCAAATTGAAAAAATGTAAATTACGTACCCATTAAAACCATGTATTGAATGTTTTAAGAGCCACTTATCCGTTGATTAAATATCTCTTACAAACTACTCAAACTATTAAAGTTATTGAAGTATTCATATACTGTATTAACTTACTTTTATTAGATTAAATTAACATATTACGTTTGGTATCATATTTTAATGGTTTTAAGAATAATTATATATAATAGAGACAATTTGTTCTAAATTTTAAATTATAGAAATCCAATAGAAGTAGAAGAATTGTCTAGTCACAATGGGAATGTTAATAAATGTTAGGTGACTACAATATATTTGGTATAGAATAAAATTATCGATCGGCTCACGATTGTCTTAAAATGGATGAAAGTGATGAATAAATCTTGCGTTGAAAAAGGATGCGTAAAGCGACGAGTATGCCAAGTTCGGCCTTATTGTACCTTGGGTTCGGTCTTTGTTATGAAAGGACGAGGCGATCGATGTGGTAATAATTGAGGATAACTGGGACATCCTTCTGGGCCGACGGAGATAATTTTATTGGTGACTGCGGCGGTTTGGATTCGCGGAGAATTCGCGTTTGGATTTTCCGCATTTCGGTTTTTCGTTCGCAATGTTTTCCCAATCAATAATAGCTTTAACCGAATCAATTTCCTATCGGAAGAGGAGGAATACACGAGTATAAAACAAAATAGAATTTTCCCTCAAGCGATGACTGGCTGACAATCACATTACGAACACAATCATCCCCTCAATTACCTCTAAAATTGGAAGGCAAATATTGCACTCCACTTCAATTATAAATATTTTTCTTGAGGGGAAAAGACCTCTATCTCGATCTTATTTGTCTCCAACTGGTCCAATAAATATAGGAAATATCACTTCTAAATTATAAGTACATTTTGTTCGCTGACACAAACAGAGTATAAATAAAAAGATTTTTGGTTGATTTAATCGAATTTATTTACAACCATTTGGTTGAAAGGGCTCAAAGTTAGTTCTATATCCGTGCAGTCACTGCTGTGCAACCACTGTTAAACACATTATTGTATAGAGTTCCATTCGAATCTGCAATTACTATAAGTGAAAATTTATACTGTTAATTCAAATATTTTCAGTAAACTTATTTCACATATATTCATGAATAAATGTAAATGATTGTTTAAAAATAGTTTTAATACATGAAATATTTTCTTAGTAAGCGATTTCAGCTCTTTCCACGCATATTTTCAGTTCTTAAAATAGTTTATTGAAGTTTCAACAAACCCAAAAATATGGATCAAGGTTAGAACATGTAAACTATTTACTAGACTACTACCATCAATTTTAAATTATTATTTAAAAAAATAGTACAAGTAAAAAAAATATGCTTATTTCAAAGAAAAAATCCTAAAAATGTGGTCTTACAAGAAGTAAATTACTTGAAATGATTATATAAGTAACAAAGTATTAATTATTGGAAACAATTAATCCGAACTGAAATTTCTTAAACGAAAGTGCAAGAATATTGCATTAATTGCTTCCGTTAAATCCAATTTAAGATACTTGTTGCTTAATTTGAGCACTAATTATTAAGTTCCAGAGCAAGCGAGTGCAATGTTCCTTGATTACGACCAAAACTAAATTTACTTATCCACGGTCTTATTAAATGCGTCGGCGTTCATTAGTTGCATTTAGTCACGCGGAAGAGCAAATTCTTGCGAATAATCAATAAAACAAAAGTAAATAAAAATAGAATTTCATTTATTTACAGTAATCACGTAGATTTGGCGTAACGTTCATTCCTTAGTCAGTTTAATTAATTGATTGATTTTCTTTAAATATGAAACAGTAAATTTGCAATTAATTATTATATAAAATATTATTATATTTATTGATTTATTAAAGAAAGTTTTTTCAATCATTTTTTTTTCAGTAATTTCTGATAAACTCATTCAAAGTGAATGTTATATAACTCAGTAAATATAGAGTTGAAATTAATATCTTAATTCAGCGGTGTAATTAAAAAGCTTCACTAATCCGGCATCTTTTGTATGATTTTGTTATTGGGTGTTGATGATGAATTCGGTGGAATCCCGGAGTATAGCGAAATTAATAGGTCTATTTATATGCAGAGGCAAATGATCCGTGGAAAATTGGATGGATGAAATCTTGAGGCGAAAGGAATTCGCTCATTATTACTTCCAACCAATTTACTCGCATTACCGTCCAATATCCAGGGACCTATTAATTGAAAACAATTACCATCTAACACATCAAATATTCCATTTAATTAATATTAATGGTGACTTTCAAAGGGATGAGAACAGGTATCAGGAATAATCTCGCGTCGTGCAACTTTAATTAACTGTGACGTTCATTAATGCCGCGATCGTTCGTGGAATTGCAGAAAATATCGACGCATAATGGATTGTGTATTTACGGAAACCAAAATGGTGGTGAACGATGCGGAGGAATCGATTTTGTTGTATTTCATCATGGTCGGATGTTTGAGTTGCACTGCTTCATGGAACTTATACGATGATTAATCCCTGTTACGTTTATTTTTCATCTATCTAATGGATACTGAATTTGCCTCTTCATAAATGGCGTTTGCTTCATTGAAATATAAATAAATCTGCTTGCAATATTTCACCATCAATATCGGAGTATACTAATTGCACGGATGATTTATTGATATAGCAAGAAAATATCCATTAAATAAAATGATATTCTTTCATTCACATTCCATACCATTATCTTCTCATCATATGAAAATTATTAGGAGATTATTCTAGTTTTCGATATGAAAACTCAACACTAATTAATTGATACATTATACTACAAAGGTCTAAAATGTACCACAAAAGTAAGTAATAAACGGAGAATATTTCAATAAATTTGACAGCTCATTGACATATCAAACAACAAATAACATACATTGGCTCAACTTATTAAATATTACTATATTATTAATATAATACAATATGTTCAATACTGAATAATTTTATTCTTCGTTCAGTTGCGAAACTACTACTCTTTGTTTACCGCATTTGGAAATACTTTGTATGAGAATGCATTAAAGCCACCAAACGAATGTAAACACCATCCGGTGCACTATCTTATAAAGACAAGTTTCTTTTATGTAATTTTATAACTACTTCGTAGTTGACCTTTTCTCTTGCACTTCCTTTTACTTGTACATTCTGTCTGTTGACTCACCGTATTATATACCAACACGCACTTTTTTAAATAACACTTTTTTGCTTGCATCCTACAGTGATTTTTAGTGTTCGGATAAAATGTTATCATTATACAAAATTTTGTTTTAATGTAGACAAAGAAAAATTAAAATTAAACAAATAATTTGGATTTTAAAACAACAGACTTATTATTCATGCTTCTAATTTTTACTTTGTGTATAAAAATGTACGATAAAATATGTATATTTTTATTTATATAATACATTTTCTTGATATTCTTGTTATAAGATTATTTATGCATGAATTCATCTTTCAGCGGAAATCTTAAAGAAAACCTCATCTGGATATTCATTTTCTAAAAAAATATTATTAATATTTTCCATATTATTTTTTTTAGCTTGAAATTGAAATTAGCAATATTTGTGTATTTAATAAAACGAGAACTCTTAATTTCCAGTTTACTTATATATATTTACAAATAATTAGCAACATGTTATAATAGGTAGCATCCACTCAGATGTAGACCTAACTAAGGCTTAGAATTGGTAAAGTGTGAATTATAATTTATTAGAAGTAATTCGTAAAAAGTAAATTCATAAAACAAGAAATTTTACCAATTAGTAAAATGGGAATTTCCAATAATATTTTTATGTGTGAAATGTACATTGGAAATTGGGAATTCGTAAAATGAAAATTAACTCTATATGTTTTTTTATAAAGCATAAAATGCAGTTAATCAGATGTACAATTTAAATTGGATTTGAAATTCGTAAAACAGGAATTCCTAAAATGAGAACAACTTGAATATATATACAACTAAGTTCAAACATGGAATCTAATAAACCTTGAATTAAGTTTATATTTTTTTTACACGTAATTCGTAAAACAAGAATTACCTAAACATATTAATTTAGATGTTTATTTTAACTTAAACTTGGAATTCGAAATACGAACTCTTGAACTTATGAAATACTAAAAGCTCTAACTTGTTACAAGCAGATATATAATGATAAAAAAAATAATTGTCCGAACAAAAATTGATAATTTCTTTAATAAAATATAATATTTTTGGTAGATCTACTATCTGTTTCGTTGCATTTGTTTATTTTGTCGTTTTTTATTATTAAAATTCATCCGACTTACGAACAAATTCGACATACGAACAACTCTTTGGAACGGAACTAGTTCGTATGTCGGGGGATACCTGTATTCTAAAACGTAAATACGTAAGGTATGTGTGCTTTAGAAGTGTTGCATGTTTAGTATAAGTAAATAGCATGCATGTATGAAAATATTAAAAATAAATATGGTATTGTGTGTTGAAAGTAATCCCAGTGGGTTTACGCTTTATGGATCATACATACGCGTCGAGTAATTAATTACAACGCAATCCGGAGCCTGTAATCACAGACACGTCCTGACTCTGCATTGCATAAATAATACAACAACCTTTTCCCCATCTCCTGAAATCCAACAAAAGAAAAATCATCCACTCCGCATTACATTTTCCCTCCCCCTATGTGTCGTTACTTTTTTTTTCGTTCTCATCTGATTCAGTCTCTTTTTTTCTTCTTCCCTTACATCTACTTCTTCTTCTTCACCACTTTCTCTCTGGCTTTGTCGGAGACAGTCATACGCCGGTCATACGCCGCTATTATTTATGGCAAAAGCTTCGCGCGGAGAGGATTAAGACGCCGGCAGTCGGGCAATTTCCATAATGCTTCGTAAGGATGAAAAGGGCGGAGAAGTAGGGGGAAAGGATTACATTTGCTCCTTTCGCAAATCCTCGCCGCACAGGATACGGCCGTCATACATATATCTCGCTAAATTCGCAATTCGTCCTTTTATTAACGGGGCGGGCGCGCACACCGCCGAGATTAATTCACTTTTGTTCAGTGCGGTCATTTGCGTGACTGACCGTCAATTAGTAATTCGCAGATTCAATCGTAATTAATTAATTTGCTCGATGGAATATGGCTTATCGCTTTGGCCATGCCCCAATAAATGCGAATCGCCTATTCGATTTATGCACAATCCGGAGGCGCCATCTTTAATGGACCGAGCCAAATCGACGGGCAAAAATGATATAAACAATTATTACTTCAAATGGAAACTAAATTCGCGATTCAAATTCAATTTCGAAATAAATTAGAACCGCTTGACGTTTAAACTGGTTACCATGGAAATGATATGCGTTGCTATGGAATTACACGTCAAACGTGCATGAAATGGTGCCCGGAATGATTCTCGTTAAATGCATTTTAATCACACGTGAATAACATTTTTCTAGATATTTTATATTGCTAAAAACGTTCTATCTATCTATAAGAGTCACAATTATTTAATATTAATAAAATTATACACAGAATTACCTCGCATAGTGCGGGTAATTGCTTACTGATAATTATAAATTGATTAGCGCAAAGAGTCAATTTATTTTTAATTTATTTAATTAAAATTTGGGTCATTTTGAAACTTTCAAACCGTACTATAGTAAAATCGCACTGATCAAAACTGGACAATGCGAGTTACTGCTCCACTTAATATATGTAATCATACTTCATGAATTCAAAAACAGCAAAATTTGAATTTGATTACAGCAAACTTTCTGTCTAATGTAACTTTGTTTTTTGTTTAATTATTACAAAGTGATAATTTAAAAACAATTACTAATTTTGTTCTAAATATCTAATTTTTTATGTATTCTAAAATATTTATCCTCCATATTCAAATAAAACTCAAAAACCATACCAGTTTATTTATATCAATTTGTAATCCACTAATGGATTCTTAAACATTCTATATTCAATCGATAAATTATAGTCATCTTATCTATTAATGTTATTACCAATAAAGATTTTTATTATATTTATTTGTAAATAATTGGATTAAATCAGAAATAATTATGTAATAAATTTTTCTTTGCCATATTAATAAATTTCCGAAAAAATATTCTAAAAACGTAGTTGAATTTAAATTGCAAAATTTACACCTTTCATCAATTTAAAGACAATTAAAATTAACCGAAAGTTATGATGGAGTTTATATGTATCTGTCACTCGGTATAATCCGCATATGAATTCTAAAATAGCGCCGTGTGTTTACACATTTAGATTAGGAAATTGTGGCCATCCATTAGCTTGCACATATTAGTTTTGCGGGATTCGCACAGCCATTCGGGTTGCATCAATATTCAATTACTTGGATTATTGCGTAAGACAGAAAGGTCTCTCGAGCTGCTACTAATTAGAGTTTCATTACCGCCCGTCTGTGTGTATCCGCACCAATTAAATGTTATGTTGTACATGTATTCAACATTTTCGTTAACTTTCATTAAAATTTATCGCATTAATTAATTAAATCGATACTGTAAGTAAGTAAGTAACGTTAATTAACTGTTTTTTTTTGTTATTTTTGTCTATTTCTACTTAATTAAGAAAATAATTGCTGAATATTTATGCATTCGCGAGAATAAAATGTCATTTCTCACAATTAAACATGTTTATAAAATATTATATGTACAGAAATTGTTGTATACTTAATGCTAATTTCATTATCCATGAAATAAAGTGATAATTTATGATTTTGTAATATCAAAAATGAAGAAATTCCATTGGAGATCACTTGTTGCTTTCTACTTCTCTCGATTAATGCTATTAAAGAAATCCGGCAGTCCGATAATTCAATACGGGAAGCGAAAACAAAGCGAGTTCAATCTGTGCGCAGTTTTTCAAAGATAATTGCACGATTGCTTGGTTAATAATTGGAAAGCGTACATGCTGTTAAATGTAGCAAATAAATAGCAAAACTCCAGACAAATAGGACTGCTTTCAGTAGAACGGAGACAATTTGTTAGAGCAATATGTTTTAACGCAAAATACACACTCAAAGTTCTTGTGCTCGATAAAATGTACAAACAATATATTAATGCTCAGTAGCATTTCTAAGGTCGGTTAACCAGGCAAATGCCAATGATGGAGTCCCAAACAGTGTTTAGTTAGGGGCAGTAAATCAGAATCAAACTCGCTCATTATTTTTATCCTTAATAAGTTGAATTTTAGCTTTATTTTTACTTCTTTTTATTTACTAAATCCAAAGTTATTATATATTTTTAATAAATTATTAGCATACATTTATTATATTAATTACTATAATTAATACAAAAATTGTCAAATGATTATATTGATAAATGTTTTAATAATAACATATATTTCGTTTGGTACTGATACTTAATTATTTATAGTGACTTAATTACAACAATAACTCGCATATTCGATTAGTCCGGATTTACTATACTCCGGTTGAAAATTTCAAAACGAACTAAGTATTTATTGAGCATAGTAAAAATAAATTAGTAAAAATATTATTAGCATATATAAAAAAAATGTTTCAAATAGTATAGGATATTGGCGAAACTGATTACCGCCGGATGTATGTACAAAAAAAAAACTAATTCTGATTTGCGGAAGTACAGAATGTATAAAGGCAAATTGCTATTTACTGACGAAGCGTATTTGAATTTATGATTATTTGAATTTGAAACTGTTGGAGTTTCGGCGAAACAAAAATAAAAGAGGAGTGTATACTAACCGGGTTCAACTGGAGGCGTCGTTGGGGTGGTCTGTTGACTTTGGTCCATTTTTGCCCTTTCAATTTCTTGGTCGGAGATTTGTTCGTCCTCTGATCCCCCTGAAATATGAAAGAAATCAATCTCATTCTCATTTCCAAAAGAAAAAAAAAACATGTTTCCCATCCAATCATTCCTTGTTTGCCGTACAAAGATCTTGCACTGTTTCATTGTCGTTTCCGTTCATTTTCTTGTAAATAGTCTATAAATACGACTACATAAATCAGTCTATTTAAAATTTCTAGAAGCGCGAATGAAGCACGACCGTCGTAAGCACGAAAAATTATACAAGTGCATTTTACTATTTTTAGTGTCGTTGGAACATTAGCAAATACTAAACGATCACCGGATTTCCTTGCTTTCATAGTTTTCTATTGCCAATACTATTTAGGCAAGGAATAAAAAACGTTTATCTGTAAATATGTGTTACATAATCACAGTTTGATAAATTATAGTAAACCTTAACCACTTGAAAAATAACACTTATCAACAATTAAAAAAATTGTTCCATTAGAATATGTTAAGTGTTAACACATGGCTGAATTGATTATAATACAATTATATCATAGTGTAATTAAAAAACTAATAGATTTGATAAATTAATCGAAACTTCCGTTATATTATATCCATTAAAAAAACTAGTGATTAAATAAGTATAAAAAAGTGTAGTTTCCTCGATTAATAATATAACGCGGTCTAATTAAAGCTTAAAATATCTATAAATTTATCTATTTACTATAAATTATTGTAACTTCGTTTAACGCTGTTTCATTTAGCGTTAAACGAGATATTGCAGTATTATATTTAGCTTGTTTTTTTCTTTTGCTACAGGGCGACTCGAAACTTGCTGTGTATGTTGAATACGAAGAGACGAGAAGAACACGTTGAACGTGATCAAGTTTAATTAGCAGCGAACATTGTATGTCTTCCGAGATAATTAATGAAAATGCCAATTGCTTGGCCCATATTTCGATGCGCTTTCACCTCACCTGCGGCGCATAAATTAATCCGATCCGATTGCAGCAATTTGCCGAGGCATTCCCCATTTCAGATCCTTATCAAATAGACACTTACACATCGTACGCAATGTTTATCTAATCAGGTTATTGATGCTCATTCCATTTCAAATCCTTAAACACACATTTCCTAAACAACAACAGAATTCCTGAAGCTACTGCACATTAATTATTTATAAAGTAAGACATCAACTCTGTTTGCAACAATATATATCTATATTAAGTTTATAATGTAGTTATTACAACTATCGTGAAAGTTAATTGATATACCATTTATACTATTTTATATTTTATCTAGTTATTCTATACATTACTTAGTTATCATATAAAATAACTATATTGTACAATATAAAATAAATGTATAAATTCTCAGTCTATTGAAAAATATAAATACTAAAAAAATGTAAATAACGAACGCAAATTTTAATGTTATTTATTTAACTATTTGTTATAATTTTTAGCAGTAACATAAACTAGTTGTAAAGTTTTCTTTGAATGAATTTGTAAATTTGTAAAACAATTGATAATGAAAGAATTCAATCTTTTTGTAATTTTGTACTTTCTCTATAATATATTTTTCAACTAATTTGTGTACGTATTAGCGATATCAAATAAAAGTAAGAATTTATTGCAAATGTAGTATTAAGCGACATAATATATTTCTCATACGTGGGAATAACTGCGAAATCGCGTGGTCGTTTGATGAAGTCGACCAAAGGATGCATTTCAATAAGGAACATCACTGTTTCATTACGTTCTCGTTGCGTTTCATTTTAACATTGATACGTTCTTGAGCATATACGGACTTTCCTATTAACTAATTGAATATGATTATAGAATCTACAAAAAAATGGTTAAAAATAGTTTATATAATCAAATAGTATTAAACGTTTTTTTTGTATTTTGTATCATTTCATTTTTGAACAAAACATATCAGTTGACAACTATCATTATCAGAAAGCCAAGTGTAGTAACAATAGCTATACAACTGGTTGTATTCTGAACTTGAACTATCTGCCTATGATACTGACTGCTAGATATATTCACAGGAGAGGAAGCACATTGTATTTGTTATTTATTGATCTGAAGTGCTGCCTATGAATGTTTAGCACGTACATGAATATCCAAATCTCTAATCGATACGTTTAAGTGACTTCGTGAATGAACGAGAGCGAGAGTGGGTGATGAATGGGTCTCCAGGATAATCAATCTTTATACGGCAACCAGTCCGAACCCTTAGAATTATTATCGAACGAGACTGAAAGAGGAATTAGTGGATGCATGAAAAACGCGTATGAATGAAAAAGGTACACAAAAGAAACAAAAATGTTAATTAAGATTAGTTTGTTTTAAAAAATGCTTTTATATAATCAGTAGTTTTATTAATTCTTTTATAGACTTTGAAGAATCAGTAGTTTTATAAGAAAGAGAACAATATGTGAAATGTATCCATCTTTTTGTTTTTCCAGCTACTGTTTATTTATGTTTGTTTGTGTTCTTTATGATTCTGTGATACTTTTTCTTCGAACTGACATTGTATATTTCTATTTTACATATATATGCCTTTTATTGCTATATATTTGTATGCCAAAGTCAAAGTCATAAATAATATAAGAAAATACAAATATAATTAATAATATATTTTCTTTCCAGCGAAAAACAAACATAATAAAATGAATTGATTTTACTGTCAACATTATTTGATCTATAGCTTCATGTAATGAAATGCCTTTTTATTGTAATTGAGTCCATTAGCGTTTTATCACTGATATATCGTACACATTTTAGTATTGATTTATAAAAGTCCATATAAATTTATTCATGTGAACATTCATTATAAAATTATTATTAATTAAATTATGATAAATATTATAATTAATTTCGACGTGCATACTTATATTTTATGAAACATGTTTTCAATATTAATACCGAGATAGGTGGAATAGACGTGGTATCTCGTAATCAGGACGTGGATATGAATATGTAACATCAATTAACCTTAATCAATATACTATGATATTTCGAGCGGAAACAATGATCACGCTTCAATCTTCTCCAATATTGAATGAAAACGAACGTGTATTTTCTCTATTAATAAACCTGTAATCAAAGCTTTTACTATCACAATGTATTATTTCATAATTTTATGAATAAATTGATAGTACCTTTTTTATCTAATAAAACCAGTATTATAGTAAAATCAAATTGTTTAATGTGATTTAAGTATTCATCAATTTGATAGGAAACTTGCAGTTATTTACGTTTTTTTTTAAATAAATTTTGTATATTAAAAATTTGAGTAAGCATTATTGTTGTGAAATTGATAGTGAATTGCTGCAGTAAAGGAAAAACGAGAACAATACTAAGTGAAAGGTAACTCTCAAAATTATACACTACTGCTTCTCATTCCATTTGAAACCCAATCATAAATGTATTTTTGCTCCGTAATTACGAATAATGTTCTTAATTTCATTGCATTTTGGCATTACGAAACCGCATTTTTATCGATTACATATTGCATAATTTGTTGTATCATTTATTATTTCATCACATCATTATGAATATACCTTCTTCCTCGTCGCTGTATTCACATAAACGTTTAAAATATTATTTTAGTGTATCATCCTATTAGATCCTACAGGTAATTTATTGATTTAATCATTAAGTCCTATTGTTTTCCGTAGTTCGATTAATTTCTAATCGCTTGACTAGATGTTTTGTTTTCATTATTAATAGATGCGCTTGTTTCAATTACTGAAAGTAACATTTCAATTTCTTCTTAAATGATAATCAACATTAAGAACAATTTAGTTTTCAAATGATAATATTTAATTGTATGTATTTATGTAGTAATTAAATGTGTGAATTGTAATTTATATAAGGATTTATGGATGGAAATCAAATGAAATAAAAGAATAAAGTTAATAATGATATTATTGAATTTATGATGAATTAAATGTTCTACTAAATTTTTAAATTTAATAATATTGAGGATAACTGTGCAAGTCATAAAATGAAAATCTCGTAATTAATTTATAATCAAAAGGTTATAAGGTTAAAACTGCGGAGTAGCAATTAATTGAAAACTCAATTTAGATTGGTGCACAACCGAACCGGTGTTTAGATTATGTAAAATTAATTAACTTACGTTTCATCAGTGCTTTGTTATATATAAAAATATAGGAATCCAATTAGTGTTGATGGATTAAAAAAAAAGAGAAGCATGAAGATAGGAGGCAAACACAATTTTTGCGATCGGAGTGGCAGGAAAACGACCGCACTGCGCGCTGCATGTATTCGCACTGCGATATCCCGAATTATCTCGATTGTGTTTTATGTTTACTTTAACAAAATTTTAATTAAACTGATAAGGCATTTATGAAACTAAACATGCATGAGTCAATTTCGAAAAATATCCATTCAGCGAGTGTATTTCAGTTTTATTTTACACATCGAATCAATATCATGATTTGTTTTATTGGGAATTCCAAATAAAAATAATGAATAGAAAACAACATGTGTGCGGATGCTGGTTTTTTAGTTTTCAACTTGATGATCACGATGATGCTAATGATGATGTGGACAGGTTATTTTCTTTCTTTCTTTTTGATGGGATATTCAACGTCGAATCTTTGTGACGGTGATATGTTGATGTCGTCTTCGTTGAAATAGTCCATGGCACTCAGAAAACTGTCATCTGTATAAAAATGAAGTGATTAGCATTTTTATGTAATGGTAGCTTTAGTACCACCTTTCGAAGTTGGTTCATCGTCGAACTGGATGCGCTTTTTGACGCCTTTTTCGTCGGATTCAGATTCGGTTACAACGTCGTCTTCATCGTGACATTGGCTGTCATCGCTTTCATCGGTGCCATCATCGATTCCCTCGCAAACATCAACACAGTCTGTACCGACTGCACAAGTAACCCATTTATCCCTCTCACATGCTTTACATTGATTTGGATTTCTGCACATTTTAGGCTTCGCCTCGCCTTCATCCCCTTCCCATTCCATGCAATCTCTTCTATTATTAGCTTCGCAAACACT